GTGGCGCATGGGCTTAGTTGCTCCGTGGCATGTGGGATCTTACCGGACCAGGGCTCGAACCCGGGTCTCCTGCATTGGCAGGCGGATTCTTAACCACTGCGCCATCAGGGAAGCCCCTGTTTGTAGATTTTTTGATGATGGCCAGCCATTCTGACCGGTGTGAGGTGATACCTCATTATAGTTTTGATTTGCATTTCTCTAAGTATTAGTGATGTTGAACATCTTTTCATGTGTTTGTTGGCCATCTGTATGTCTTCTTTGGAGAAATGTCTGTTTAGGTCTTCTGCCCAGTTTTTGATTGGGTTGTTTGTTTTTTTGATATTGAGCTGCATGAGCTGCTTGTATATTTTGGAGATTGATCCTTTGTCAGTTGTTTCGCTTGCAAATATTCTCTCCCATTCTGAGGGGTGTCTTTTTGTCTTGTTTATGGTTTCCTTTGCTGTGCAAAAGCTTTTAAGTTTCATTAGGTCCCATTTGTTTATTTCTGTTTTTATTTTCATTACTCTAAGAGGTGGGTCAAAAAGATGTTGCTGTGATTTATGTCAAAGAGTGTTCTGCCTATGGTTTCCTCTAAGAGTTTTATAGTGTCTGGCCTTACATTTAGGTCTTTAATCCATTTTGAGTTTATTTTTGTGTAAGGTGTTAGGGAGTGCTCTAATTTTGTCCTTCTACATGTAGCTGTCCAGTTTTCCCAGAATACCAAAAGGGAGGGGAGATTGATAGATAAAAGAAAATGGGCAGGATCTTGATATTTATTGAATCTAGGTTACGGATACATAGTGGCTCGTATTATTCTATGTTGTGTATAATTTGAAATTTCTCTAACAAAAAGTTTTTGCTATTGAGGATAGTAATAGTACCTACCTCATAGGGTTGCTTTGAGGATTAAAAGAGATAATTCAAATAGAAGGTTTATCACAGGACTTTGCATAGGTTGAGTCATATCTTGCAGGAGATCTTTGCTGAGTACTTTTCTGGCATTTCTCATTACTATGTGAGGTAGTATGTGGGATTAGAGTATACAGGCTGTCTTGGAAACTGATTTTTTCACTCAACAATATTTTGTCAGCACATTTATGTAACATATGTCTATATGTATGTTGATATTTTTTTTAGAGTTTTTTTTTTTTTGCGGTACGCAGGCCTCTCACTGTTGTGGCCTCTCCCACTGCGGAGCACAGGCTACAGACGCGCAGGCCCAGCGGCCATGGCTCACGGGCCCAGCCGCTCCGTGGCACGTGGGATCCTCCCGGACCGGGGCACGAACCCGCGTCCCCTGCATCGGCAGGCGGACTCTCAACCACTGCGCCACCAGGGAAGCCCTATGTTGATATTTTTAATGGTTGCCTAGTATTTTGTCATATGGATTTACTATAATATATTTAACCACTCCTTATTAATAGTAAGAGTGTTGAACTTTATCTGAGCCCTTTGCTTCTAGAAAACAGCACAGGTTAAGAAATCCCCACAACTTTTGTTTAGGAGACTGTATAGTGTGACATAAGATAATGATGGCATTTCAATTTAGTGGAGGAACAAAAAGACTTTTCAATGAATGGTGCTGAAAAGTTATCTATCCATTTGAGACAAACTTAGATACTATCTCATAAGATGTGAACTGTAAAGAATACATTACACAGTATTAAAGGCAAAACATTAAGGAACAAAACACAAAACTAAATTTTATGAGTTGAATTGTGTTCCCACCCGCCTTCATACGTTGACGTTCTAACCCCCAGTACTCCAAAATGTGACCTTATTTGAAATCGGATTGTTGCAGATGTAATCAAGTTAAGATGAGGTTGTTAGGTTGGGCTCTAATCCAATATAACTAGCTGTCCTTATAAGAGGAAGTACCACATAAAGACAGAGACACACAGGGAGAATGTAAGCCAAGGATTGATGGCAACCACCAGAACCTAGGAAGAGTCAAGGAAGGATTCTACCCAAAGTCTGAGGAGGAACCAACCCTGCTGACACGTTGGTTTTGTACTTCTGGCCTCCAAAAGTGTGACAAAATTAATTTCTATTGTTTAAGTTTGTGGCACTTTGTTACAGCAGCCCTAGGAAACTAATATAATTACTATCTAATTTTACAACATTTCATTACTCCCAAAAGAAGCTCCATACCCAGCAATAGTATCTCTCCATTCCTCCTTTCCTCCATCTGCTAGCAACCATTTATCTATTTTTGTCTCTATGGAATTTGACATTTTGGACATTTCAGATAAGTCGAATCATACAGTATGTTATATTTTGTGACTGTCTTCTTTCACTTAGGATTATATTTTCAAAGTTCATTGATTATGTAGCATGTATCGGTACTTCATTAACTTTATTGCCAAATATTATTCCGTTGTTTGGATATACCATATTTTGTTTATCCATTCACCGGTTGTTGTACATTTGTGTTATTTCCAGTTTTAGCTCTAATGAATAACACTGCTATGTATATACAAATTTTTGTGTGGATGTATATTTTCATTGTTCTTTGTTAGGTATCTAGGAATGGAATCACGGAGTGATATGGTAACTCCATATTTATCATTTTGAGGAACTGCCAGGCATTTTCCAAAGTGACTGCACTATTTTATGATCCTACTAACAACCAATGAGGATTCTGAATTCTCCACATTCTGATGGCTTCTTATTTCAGTTGAAATAAGAGCCAGTGTCTTTATAGTGGACTGAAAGGACCAACCTTGTATTAAGCAGAGTTCTCTAGAGAAACAGAACCAGTAGTGTGTGTATTTAATTAATTAATTGGCTCCTGTGGTTATGGAGACTTAGAAGTCCAATGATCTGATGTCTGCAAGCTGGAGAACTAGGAAAGCCAGTGGTGTAGTTCAGTCTGTATCTGATGGCCTGAGAATTAGGGGAGCCAATGGCATAACTCCCAGTTGGAGGTCGAAGGCCTGAGAAGGGAGGAATGATATGCTGATGTAAGTCCCAGCATCTGAAGGTCTGAGGGCAGGAGAAGATGGATGTCTTAGCTCAGGTGGAGAGACCAAATTTGAAGGTCTGAGGGCAGGAGAAGATAGATGTCTTAGCTCAAGTGGGGAGACCAATCTCCCTTCCTCTGCTTTTTAAATTCTATTCAGACTCTCAGTAGATTGGATGTTGCCCACCCACATTGAGGAGAGCAGTCTGCTTTACTCAGTTCACCATTCATATATTAATCTCTTTTGGAAACACCCTCACAGGTGGGCCCAGAAATAATATTTTATAAGCTATCTGGGCATCCCTTAGCTCAGTCAAGGTGACACATGAAATCAGTCATCACAAACATGATCTGGTTTTTTCTTATGTCTTTAGTATTCCAACCTCATTGACCTGTTTCTGTTCCTCAAATAAACCAAGCATGCTCTCTGTAGTGGCTTTGCATCTACTGTTTCCTCTGCCTGGACCAGACTTCCCACAGATACACTCCTTCTTGTTACCTTACTTCCTTCGGACTCTGCTTGTATGATCTCTTATCGAAGAGGGCAGTTCATACAGCTCTGTATTGAATAAGAATCCTCCTCCCATCTCCTTACCTTACTTTTGTTTAATCTCTCTCTTCCTGCCCCCTATTTGAATGTAAGGTCTTTGAGGGGAGGAACATTATTTTTTCACTGTGTTAAAGAGAAATTATTCTGACACTTGTTGAAACCTGCAAAGAGGGCTTTATTCAAGCCTACTGCAGTAGGGAGAGAGCTTGAACTTACCCCCAGTACAACAGGGACAAGTGGGGATTTATAGCCAACTGGCAGGGTGAGGGAGTAAATGGAAAATTACTAAGAAATTGGTTAGGTATCAAGGGGAGGTAGAAAGGAACTTGATTAGATACCAAGGGTGGGAGAATTCTTGATGAACTGGCTTCGCAGGATTCTTTACTAAAATTGGATTCAGCAGGCCAAAGACAAGGTCTAGAGGAGAAGAGGATTCACAGGATCCTGACTAAAGTTTGGTGAAGGAGGGAGTCCTTGACAACTGCTTTATCCTTAGCATCTAGAAAAGTGAGTGGCACATACTGGGGCATTGGTTAATCATTGTTAGGTTGGTGAATAAATGCTCCATTCAGAGGAATTTTCTTTTAAATGAAAAGTTCTAATTGAATGAAAGATATATTTTTCCTTCCTAAGCTGTCAAACTGCTGGATTTTATAAGTAGAATTTTTTTTTTTTTTTTTTTTTTTTTTTTTTTTTGTGGTACTTGGGCCTCTCACTGTTGTGGCCTTTCCCGATGCGGAGCACAGGCTCCGGATGCACAGGCTCAGCGGCCATGGCTCACGGGCCCAGCCGCTCTGTGGCATATGGGATATTCCCGGACCGGGGCACGAACCCGTGTTCGCTGCATCGGCAGGTGGACGCTCAACCACTGCGCCACCAGGGAAGCCCATAAGTAGAATTTTTTAATAATACATTTGTTAAAACTGATTCAATCTTGTTCCATCTTCTGTGTCAGTTAATGGTGAGAAACTAATTTTTAATGTTCTGGGTGCTATACTTTTCTAACATGCTTTTTCTTTGTTTGAAATTAAAACTGGATTACTTGGAAACAAACAAATGAACAAACCATAAATAGCTCCTCCAAAGTAACCTAAAACATGTTTTTCAGATCCAAACCAGTTTCTAGCAGTGGGTGCCAATCTTGGCTGAATATTAAAATCGTTTGGGAGCTCTGGGTGTGGTCCGATGCCAGGACCACACCCAGAGCATTAACGCAAAATCTGTGGAGTTGGGACCAAGGCGCAATTAATTTTTCAGTCTCTCCAGGTGATGCCAACGTGCGCAAATAGGATGAAGAACCTAAGACGCCGGACTGTAACCAAGACTACATTTCCCAGAGGCCTCCGCGGCCACTTCCGTTTCCGGCCCTGCCCGCCTCCGTTTGAGTAGAGCGCGGCACCGGCTTGCTCGGTTTGCACCTGTGTCTCTTCTGTGAGGAGAACAGTGAGGGTGGTCACGGCTCCTAAGCGTGCGCAGCCTTCTGGCCCAATCCTCCCAGCTAGGTCGTGAACGGCTGCCGCCGGACTGGGGCACAAAGACCCGGTGAGTTCCTCCTTTCCCCGAGGGGCAAGTTGAGGAAAGAGCGGGCTAGGAGGGGCGGGCAGATGTGAGCGGGGCCCCAACCCCAGGAACCGTGCTGTCCCAGGAGGTTTAAAGGCTTGCGCTGAGACCCAGGGATTGAGTCTCCGACGAGACTTTCCACATGTGTTGGCGAAGGTGCCTGACTGACTCACAGTCAGAGCTTGGCCTGGAGCTTGCTGCAAGGCCGGACTCCAGGCAGGCGTTCCGTGCCCTTTCTTCCTGCGCTTAGCCACCTTCACCTCTCGACCTTTGTGGGGAGTAGGGAGGGTGGCAGACTGTTCTTGTTCAGTGTGCAGAGAGCGAGTTCTAGCTAGTACCGAACATGGAGGGACTTCCTCATATTTCCTTTCTTCTTCCCAGGTTGGCGTAGTCAAGATTCTTTGTCCTTGCCTGGGAGAACAGTTCAGGGGACAGACGGCCCCAAGACTACCAAGAACCCAGATCCAGGTAAGTTTGATTTTTCCTTTTCCTGAGAAATCTCTGTTGTTTCAAAATGAAGTTGGGTTTATGCCTCTTGCTTGGAAAATGCTCTGACCAGTGTATGGACCAAGCTGCCTGAGCCAATCCTGGAGTGGTGTAGCTCTACAGAGACGGGACCCCTCTCCCCACTGTCATCCCTTCATGTCCTTCTCTGTACCCATTACAGAGTCATTCACCAAATAGATTGTTGGTACCCATGCTTTCTAGAGTGCTAGAAAGTGAAACGTACTTTGTAATAAGGTACAGCTGTTACCTCAAAGACATTGCTAACTCAGAGATAATGGAAAAACAGACACGTAGCATAAAAAGACGTAACAGGCTTTACGTTAATCATGAATGATACACATGACACAGCCATGGTAGTGCTCTCTTGACCTTCAGGGGTCAGAGGAGTCTTTAGGGTGGGGTGGTGGTAGTGATGGTGATCTTTACGGTTCTTACTGAAGAATAAATGAAATTTGCATATTTGGAGAGTTTGGGGTGACTAGGGGAAGGCGCCGCAACATGAGTGAAGCCGTTACATCTGAACCATGAATGAGCTAGCCCCAGAGAAAGTTGGAAACGTTCAGTGTCTAGAATGCCAGGTTGGAATTTGCCTTAATCCTGGAGAAAACTGGGTTTTGAAGGACTTTGAGAAGTTGACAGGAGGTAATGAACATTTTGAAGGAAGTAGTAAATAGTTGAGTATTTATTATGCAAACTAAGAGTAACAAAAATTTTTAAAAATTAAGGATTACGCATCTTCCTATCACCCTAGCGAATCAAATTATTTCATTTGAAACACCTTTGCATGTGTATTTTTTAGACTTACCCATTTTTTCCTTTTAATATGCCATAGCTATTTCTTCTAGTTTGCTCCATAGTTTCATTACCACTTTTTATAGCTCCTTTTTAATATTGTGTACTCAACCAGCCTGTGACCTTGAGCAAGTTTTTTCAACTCTCTGAGCCTTAGTATTCTTAGCTGTAAAATAGATATACTTTATTTAAGGCCAACTGGCCCGAGGCAGGGGAACGAAATCAGACTCACAGGTTGCATCAGACTGAAACTTTCCGGACCACCCAGTTCCAGGAACTGACCTGGGAACTTTCCACCCGGCCCAGCCTTCCCCCCTTTCGAGGGGCGGGACTAACGGTGCACGATGCCGGAAGAGACCACCAAATAAGGAATAACCTGCGCCCTCCCAGATTCACAACACCCCTTTCCCTTCTTCCCCTATAAATTCTGCCCAAACCCTCGCCCAGGCGCGACTTCTCTGGCCCCTTTCTCTCGGACCAGTGAACCTCACCCGGGAGCGTTCCCAAATAAAGCTTGCTTAAGCTCTCCTCCGTTTCTTGGTGCCGTTCCTTACACTTTGTACATTTCTGGTGGAAATACAGAGAGATGTTGTATGTCTTAGGGCTCAGCACTGTGCCTGGTACATATTAGGTTGTTATTGCTATGAATGGCAATTAACAAATACATATTTATCGCTGTAAATTCTAGGATAAAGCCGGTATCATTTTGCATGTCTTTCAGTGTTTCTATTCATTTGTTGAATGACACATCCTTGAACATGCCCATGTGTCAGGCAGTGTTTTAGGCTGGGGAGACAGCAGTGACCCAAGTGGTCCCTGCCCTCCTGGAGCTCTCATTATAGAGTGTACTGACCATAAATCTAAACCTCTCCTGCCTGGCAGTGAGAAACCCTGTGAAAAAAAAAGATAAAGTGGGTCATGGGATAGCAAGTAGTAGAAGATGGGAGAAGATTAAAGAAGAACTTTCTGACGAAGTGACATTTAAGCAATTTCACTTCATCCCTACTAAGTGAGGGATGAGCAAATACCAGGCCTGGTGGAACGAGCATGATAGGCGTATTGGAAGAACATGAGGAGGGCAGTGTGATTGAAGTATGAGGGGTCACGAAGCACTTCACTTTGCAGCTCTTATCTTTTAATATTTCGTTCCTCTGAAGCAAGTCTGCTTTCCGAGGATGTCACATACGTTCCTCGCTGGTCCTTTCGTTAACTGTGTCCCACTTTTCTCCTCATAAACAATCTGAACTATCAGAAGCTGACTTTGAATGTCTTGCCTTCCTTCTCCAGTGAGGCCTTCCTGGCTCCCTACCTCAGGGGCAGGGGAGTCAACGGTTCCTGGGTGAACGGAATTGGGTTTGATTTTGCAGGGATCACTGACATTTGGGGATGTGGCTGTGGCCTTTACCCAGATTGAAGGGAGACACCCGGATGCTGCTCAGCGGGCCCTGTACAGGGATGTGATACTGGAGAACTATGGAAATCTGGTGTTTGTGGGTAAGGATTTTTTTCTCTTTAACTCAAAATTGGTCTGCTGGGCAACTGTGCATTTTCACAGGGTTAATGATTTGGGGGTATTTAAACTCTTAAAACAGGAGGTTTTTGTTTGTTTGTTTGTTTTTACCGTGGGCTTAGAGGCTGGAGTTCATGCTCCTTTCACTCAGAAAGGTCAGAGCCGTACAGAGTTTAAGATGGGCAGCTTTGTGTGCAGTCTAGCCCAGTTCTCTAAATTTTGCATGTCACCATTCATCTGCCACCAACAATAGGAGTTTCCTGTCCTCAAAGAGGCCTGGTTTTCTAACTGACTTCCACTCCTTCATTTCTATGACTGATTTGGATGTCCTTGATACCACCCTCTAGGCCTTCCTGACATATCCATGCTCTGTGTAGACCCCCAAGTTGAGACTGAGATTTGGGATAACTCCTTGTGCTCATAACCACAGTCATGTTCCTTTTCTTTCTCTGTGAACAGGGCTTCTCTCTTCCAAACCCAAGCTAATAACCCAGTTGGATGGAAGAACCATGGATGGAAGTATAAGGGGTTCCATCAGGTACTTATACAGGTGAGTGAGTCCGGACCTCAGCACGCAGAACAGTGAGGAGGGAGTTCTTGGTCAGAAGGCTCATCTTAGAGAGTCCACATCCATGCAGAAGGGCTGTGGCAGTTGACACTAGTTGCCTCTTTTTAACGTCATCCTCTTGTCAAATGACTTGCCATTTTTCTCATTCTTTCTACTCCTGCTCCTTTCACAAGGGCCTCCGGCCTCTGACTTCACACCCTGAAATCAGTCTCTTTATGTGTTGTTTCCCTCCCCATTTTCAGGCACTTGTCAGGCTACACTTTGTTTCTACCTTCTGTCCATTCTCAGTGTTTTCCAAATTCTCCTATGGTTAGCTAGACGAATGGCTATTTAACCCTTTCTAGTTTTAATATCCATATCCCTGATCATACAGTGGGGCAGTGGCAGATTCCAGTTATAAGCATATTTTCCTATCAGGTGATTACTATTTTTGGCAAAGAAACTGATAGGGAAGCACTTTCTTCCCTTTCCCTCTGGTCTTCTTTTATTTCTTTTCTCTGTTATCATTTGCTCTTGGTTCTCATTTTTTTCTGTGTATACTTTGCATAAATTTATGTATGTCACTTTCTCCATGTCATTGTTCAGTTCTGAATCTTTAAACATTGATATTTCTGTCACCTAAAATGTGTATCCTTCTTTTAAAACGTGAATTGTCATTTTTCCTGTATCATCTTCAGGGAAACTTTTATAATTGTGTTTCATGGAAAATAACAGTGATGCATAATCTTGCTTAAACTGTTTTTTTTTCCTTTAGACCTCTAAACTATTCTTTTTTAAAATTGAAATATAATAGACATATTATATTAGTTTCAGTTGTACAATGTAATGATTTAATATTTGTATATATTGGGAAATGATCACTATAATATGTCTAGTTAACATCTGTCACCATACATAGTTACAAAAATTATTTTTCTTGTGATGAGAAGTTGTAAGGTTTACTGTCTTAGCAACTTACAGATATGCACTACAGTGTTATTAACTAGAGTTGCCATGCTGTACATTACATTTCCATGACTTGTGTGTGTGTATGTGTGTGTGTGTGTGTGTTTTAATGCTTTTCAGTAATTCCATTTGTTTTTACTATGTTGAACATTTCCCCCCTAAATGCTTGTGTAGATTCTTTATAGAGTAACTCAGTCTTCCTTATTCTTTAATCTTTCTGTTTAAATTTTGGTATTGGGTTGGGATAGATATATGTTATTATACAAGGAAGTATTTAATCCACGTCTTTTATTAAGAAATATTCTTTTAAATTCAGCATAGATGTTGAATTTTATCAAATGCCTTTTCAACATATATGGAGATGACATCTGTCTTTTCCCTTTTGGTTGTTAATATGGTACATTTTATTCTTAATTATCTTAATGACTTGGCATTCTTAGTAGAACCCCACTTGGTCATGGCATATTACATTATTCTTTTAACATGTCAGTAGATGATACTCTTTGCTAATGTTTTATTTAAGTTTTTGCATTGATACTTACAAGAAATTTGTTTATATTTTTCTTTTTCATTGGGCCATTTTCATTGAGTTTTGATTTAAATTTTGTAATAATTTTTGTGAAAATTTTTGATCCTTCCTATTTTCATTCTTTGTTATAATTTAATTCACATGATAACTGGTTCCCTGAAGGTTTGGGTGTTTTTTTTTGTTTTGTTTTGTTTTTCTTGTTTTTTTTTAAACTTGTTTTTTGTGGTAGGGAGCAGGGGAGAGGAGTTGGGGGGTAATTCTTTAGCAGTATTCTCTCTTATATAGTAACTTGGCCAACTAGATTTTTGCTGTCTCTTGAAACAGTTTTGGTAATTTACATTTTCCTAAAAAATATCCAGTAATTAAAGTTCTCAAATTTATCTGTATAGTACTGAACAAAGTAGACTTTTATGATTCTACATATATCCTTTACATTTATGGTTACTTTTATCCTATATATTCATGGTTACTTTCTTATGATTTACATTATTTATTTGTTTTTTTTTTCCATTTCCCCCCCTTCATTAGCTTGTTTTACTTTTTATAGACTCTTAGATGTATTTACTAGTGTTACTGTTTTCTGTTTTTTAATCTTTAACTCCTTTTTCTTTTTTTTCCCTTAGGTTTATTTACTTTTTCTAACCTTTTATAGTTGATTAATTAATTAATTCATTGAATTTTCTTCTTATTTATGTAATATAAATATTTAAAGCTGTAAACTTCTGTTTGTTCAGTGTTTTGGTTGTATTGTAGTTTTTATTGTCATAATTTTTTAGATATTTTGCAATTTGCATTTTGATTTCTCTGATCAAAATATTAAGAGTCATAAGCTAACCTTCCTTTTTCTTTCTTGAAACCTTTTTAAAATTTAACACATATATAGAAGAGTAGATTTTATATATATATATGGTCTAAATTGGTATTTTTGAAATGAATATTCATGTAACCTGCACTCAGCTCAAGAAAGAGAACACTGGCAGTACTCTACTAAATCATACCTGATCCCTTCCAATCATTAGCCACACTCTCCTCCTCCCCCTGAACTAACACTATTTATTTTGGCCTGTTTTTTTAACTTTATATGAATGGAACTGTATATTTCTTTGATGTGGCTTTTTATGCATAACTTTTTGTGAGATTCATTCATTTTCATGCATTGTCCTTCCTGTGGATCATTAGAGTGCATGTTTAAACATAATTGCTAGGCCCCACCCTCAGCACTTTTTATTCATTAGGTCTGAAATGTGGACTGAAAATCTCTACAAGTTCTTAGGTGATGCTGATGCTGTTGTTACTGATCTGGAGACCAGGCTTTTAAAACTACTGCAATAGAGTATTTCATTATCTCATATTTTGGATGGATATTTGGGATGTTTCTAGCTTTTGAGAATTACAAATGGTATGAACGTTTCATATATGTTATTGCTTGGTTCATATGTGGATACATTTCTTTTGGGGTGGGATTTCTAGTTTATAGCATATGCATATATTCAACTTTAGTACATAATGCCAAATAGTTTTTCAAAGTTTTGTACCTATTTATATTTCCATCATCAGTGTGTGAGAGTACTCACTGTTCCATATCCTTGTCAACACTTAATATTGTCAGTCCTTTGAAGTTAATTGTTCTTTGGGTGTATCGTGTATCTCATAGTGTCTTTCTTTTTTTTTAGAATTTTATTTTACTTTTATTTATTTATTTATTTATTTATTTATTTATGGCTGTGTTGGGTCTTTGTTGCTGCACACGGGCTTTCTCTAGTTGTGGAGAGTGGGGGCTACTCTTTGTTGCGGTGCGTGGGCTTCTCATTGTGGTGGCTTCTCTTGTTGCAGAGCATGGGCTCTAGGCGCGCAGGCTTTAGTAGTTGTGGCTCGCAGGCTCTAGAGCGCAGGCTTAGTAGTTGTGGTGCACGGGCTTAGTTGCTTCACAGCATGTGGGATCTTCCCAGACCCGGGCTTGAACTTGTGTCCCCTGCATTGACAGGCAGATTCTTAACCAATGTGCTACCAGGGAAGTCCCTCATTTTGTCTTAATATCCATATCCCTGATATCTAATGAGGTGGAGGACATTTCAAATGTTTATTGGCCATTATATGTCATCTTTTATGGAGTGTCTATTAAAAAAAACCTCTTTGTTGATTATATATGTTGTATATGTTGTATATATGTTGTATATGTTGTATATATGTATATGTTGTATATGTTATATATATGCTTTTCACTAACAGTGGCCTTTTGATGAATAGGGGTTTTAATTTTAATGAGCTCTATTTTATTAATCTTTTCCTTTCTTGTCATTGTGTTTTGTGTGCTGTTTAATAAATCTTTCCTTTCCTCAAGTTTATAAAGATACTCTTCTGTGTTAACTTTTAGAAGCTTTATTGATTGTCTTTTACATTTAGATTTGCCATCCTGTTAGAATTGATTTTTGTGCATGGTATGAGATAGGGTTCATGTTTACTCCTCCCTCCCCCCAATATGCCAGTGTAGTCTCCTTTTCACTGCTGCTCTGCAAAGTTACCTTTGTCACAGAACATGAGTCCATAAGAGTGCCTTTCTCTTCATATGACTGATTTGCTTCCACTTACCTTTACAATCAGAATCTTGAAATTTTCTCTAGCTTAATCATTACACATTAAATACATATCCCATCAAAGGCCATTTGAAGGATCTGGGCTGTTTATTACCAGACTTCACCTCCAATTTTGCATTTAAAAAATAAGTCTTAGCTCTAGTATCTGATGAATGGAATTTCTCTTCAGGCTAATAAATATAAATGTATATAAAAATAAAAATATATGTGTATGTGTGTGTGTGTATATCTTTATCTCTGAGCCATTAAATGTTGGTTCTCTGCTAAATTCTCACAGAGGAATGTTATTCTCAAATTCTTGGAGATGTACAGTGTTATATTACAATGTTCTCAAATGTACCTCCCTATAGGAGTCTGTCCTAGTAATCCTGGCTTGCTTTGTGATACTTGGTTTTCTCCCCAAAGTTGTGTTTATCCTCAAATTTTTATCTTTTTTTCTTTTTTGGTGTTGCCTGTGTTACCTTCCTAACTTACCAACTTATTAGATGCTCCTTGCATTCTTTAAACACAATATTTATAACTTCTGTTTCCTTAGATCCTATTTACTTCTCCCATCTTTAGTCTTGCCATCTTTTCTTAGCAAGAATCACAAGTGGGATGAATTAATTTTACATAACCTTTAGTTGTATAGAATAGAATGTTATTCTTATCCATGTGCAGCTCTCATTTTCAGTATTTCAACATAGAGAACATTTGAATTAAAAAAATTTTTTTCAGTTCAGGAGTACATATTTGAAACAAAGATGTCAGCCCTGCAGCAAAATACTTCTGAGAGATCTGATTTGGGAGAACAAACAAAAAGTGTCATGATGGAAAGAGGCCTGGATTGGGAAGGCAGAAGTTGCATAGAGAAGACACTATAAATGCAAGGAATGTGGGAAAGTCTTCAAATATAATTCCTCCTTTATTAGCCACCAGAGAAATCGTACTGCTGAGAAACCCCATAAATGTAAAGAATGTGGGATAGCCTTTATGAGCAGCTCATCCCTTTTAAATCATCATAAAATTTACATAGGCAAGAAATGTTTCAGATGTGTTAAATGTGGAAAATTTTCTCAAGAAGCAGTCAACATTTGTTAATCGTCAGAAAATTCATTCTAGAGAGAAACTCCATAAATGCAATGAATGTGGAAAATTTTCAGAAATAATTCTGTTCTTTTAAGTCACCAGAGACTTCATACTGGTTAGAAACCCTACAAATATAATGACTGTGGGAAAGCCTTTGCTCAGAATTCAGGCCTTGCTCATTATGTGAAAATACATAGTGGAGAGAAGCCATTTAAATGTAATGAACGTGGGAAAACTTTCAGGGATAACTCAGCTGTCTTGTAACATCAGAGAATACATACTGGTGAGAAACAGTATCAGTGTAATGAATGTGGAAAATGCTTTATTTAGGAAAAGCTCAAGTCATGTTAGTCGTCAAAGAATGCATACAGGAGAGAAACCTTATCTCTGTAGTAAATGTGGAAAATCAGGTATAGCTCATCCTTTGCTGGACATCAGAAAACTCATAGTGGAAATAAACCCCATCAATAAACCCCATTACATCAGTGTAATGACCGTGGGAAAGCCTTTAGCAAGAGCTCAGCCCTTACTGAACATCAGAGAATTCTTACTGGAGAAAAGCCCTATTGCTGTAAGAAATGTGGGAAATCCTTCAGGCATAGCTCTGGCCTTGCTGAACATCAGAAAATCCATACAGGAGAAAAACCTTATGAATGTAATGAATGTGGGAAGGCTTTTCCTTAGAATTCAAGCCTCAAACAACATAAGAAAATTCATAACAAAGAAAGAGCCATCAAATGTAGTTAGTTTGGTAAATCATGCAGAGATAGTTTATTCCTTTTTGACCATCAAGGAGGAGACATTCAATAAATTATACACTTAATGAATATATTCTGTGACCCTCTATCCTGGAAAACTTCTCACTTGTGAGGATGTTCATTGTAGTATGGTTTGTACTAGCGAAATATTTGAAGAACTTAAATGCAGCAAGAACCTAAATGCTACTATGTAGCAAGTGAAAAGAATGAGGTAGAGCTCTATATACAACCATAGATATAGCTCCATGATACCTTGATAAGGTAAAAAAGCAAATTGCAAAGAATTAATATTGTAAAAATGGCCATACTACCCAAAGCAATCTACAGATTTAATGTGATCTCTATCAGATTACCCATGACATTTTTCACAGAGCTAGAACAGATAATCCTAAAATTTACAGGGAACCACAAAAGACCCAGAATTGTGAAAGCAATCCTGAGAAAAAAGAACAAAGCTAGAGGCCTAACTCTCCCAGACTTCAGACAATACTACAAAGCTACAGTAATCAAAACAGCATTGTATTGGCACAAAAACAGACACGTAGCTCAATGGAACAGAATAGAGAGCCCAGAAATAAACCCAAACACCTATGGGCAATTAATCTTCGACAAAGGAGGTGAGAATATACAATGGAGAAAAGATAGTCTCTTCAGCAAGTGGTGTTGGGAAAGCTGGACAGCTGCATGTAATAAATCAATGAAGTTAGAACATGCCCTCACACCGTACACAAAAATAAATTCAAAATGGCTTAAAGACTTAAATGTAAGACACCATATAACTCCTAGAAGAGAGCATAGGCAAAACATTCTCTGACATAAAGTCATAGCAGTGTTTTCTTAGGTCAGTCTCCCGAGGAAAAAGAAATAAAAGCAAAAACAAACAAATGGGACCTAATCAAACTTTGCATAGCAAAGGAAACCATAAACGAAACAAAAAGACAACCTGTGGACCAGGAGAAAATATTTGCAAACAATGTGACTGAGAAGGGCTTAATTTCCATAATATACAAACGGCTCATACAGCTCAATTAAAAAGAATAAAAATGAAATCCCAATCAAAAAATGGGCAGAAAACCTAAATAGACATTTCTCCAGAGAAGATGTTCAGATGGCCAATAGGCACATGAAAAGATGCTCAGGATTGCTAATTATTAGAGAAATGCAAATCAAAACTGCAATGAGGTATCTCCTCACACCGGTCAGAGTGGCCATGATCAAGAAGTCTACAATAAATGCTGGAGAGGGTGTGGAGAAAAGGGAACCCTCCTACACTGTTGGTGGGAAGGTAAATTGATACAGTCACTATGGAGAGCAGTATGGAGGCTCCTTAAAAACTAAAAACAGATACCATATGATCCAGCAGTCCCTAATTTAAAAAGATACATGCACCCTAATGTTCATTGCAGCATTATTTACAATAGCCAAGACATGGAAGCCACTTGTGTCCACTGACAGATGAATGGATAAAGAAGAGGTGGTATATAGATACACATATATATGATGGAATATTACCCAGCCATAAAAAAGAATGAAATAATGCCATTTACAGCAACATGGATGGACCTAGAGATTATCATATTTAGTGAAGTAAGAGAAAGACAAATATATGATATCACTTATTTGTGGAATCTAAAAGAATGATACAAATGAACTTATTTACAAAACAGAAACAGACTCACAGGCATAGGAAACAAACCTATGGTTACCAAAGGGGATAGCTGAGGTGGGGATGGGGGGGAAATAAATTGGGAATTTGGGATTAGCAGGTACACACTACTATATATAAAATAGATAAAACAACAAGGATCTACTGTACAGCACAGTGAACTGTATTCAATATCTTTTAATAACTTATAATGGAAAAGAATCTGAAGAAGAACATGTATTTATATGATGACTGAATCACATTGTTGTACACCTGAAACTAACACAACGTTGTAAATAAACTTTAAAAAAAGCAAGTTGCTTTTATATATTATGGTCTTATTTATATTTTAAAAAATGAAGCTATTTTTTGTTAATATATACATGTGTGCACATGCGTGTGCTCACGCGCTCACACACACACACACACACACACATATATATATAGAAAGAGATCGGGAAAAATAAAGGCCAAAACAGTTGTTATCTTTGAGAAGACTGTGATATTGATTTGATGAAGTGAAATTTTGACTTTGGCTGTGTTTTTTGAAATATTTAATCAAGCATACATTCATGTATCTTCTATCATTTAACATAGTTGTCTTTCTAAATCAGAAACTTCAGAATCCATAAAAAACACATAAATATTAAAAAAATTTGTATGACCAGTGGCTTCACAGTGTTAAAATACAAAGAACCAGACTTGGAGACAATATTACCACCATTGTGTGTAACAAATAATACTTAGAATATCTAAAGAGTTCTTAAAAATCCATAAGAAAAATATAAAAACCTCAGGGGAGAAGTTGTGTGGAGTATGATTGTACAGTTGTCAAAAACAACCCCCAAATGGTCAAATTTAAAAAGAGATGACTGGCTTTAGAGAGATGTGAATTAAAATGATCACATTTTTTTTTTGCCTATTGGGCAAAAATTAATAAGATATTTGGTGCTTCTTTAAAAAAATTTTTTTTTGGCTGTGTTGGGTCTTTGTTGTAGCATGTGGGATCTTTCATTGTGGCGTGTGGGCGTCTCTCTAGTTGTGGAGTGCAGGTTTTCTCTCTCTAGTTGTGGTCCATGGGCTCCAGAGTGCATGGGCTCTATAATTTGCATCACATGGGCTCTCTAGAGGCATGGCCTCAGTAACCCCATGGCATGTGGACTTAGTTTCCCAGCCAGGCATTGAACCCTCATTGGAAGGCAGATTCTCCACCAGGGAAGTCCCTTTGGTGCTTTTGAAGGTGCAAGAAAATAGGCACACTTAACATGTTGAAAGAATTCTGAATTAACAGTGTGATGGTGAGAAGCATAAATTTTACTATATCCACCAAGTTTTAAAAAGCTTTTACTCTTTGACCTAACGTTTCTATTTCTAAAATTGTATAAATAGTAAAATGGTCTTTAGATAATTATAGTAATGAAAAGTTGAAGTCACTGAAGTGTCTTATCACCAGGGCAATGTTTGAAATACAGCCCATACATTCTTTGGGCTGTCATGCAGTCATTTAATTAATCAATTAACATTTAATGAGTTAAACTTTATGAACCAACAGGGAAAGACGTTTAAGACATTAAGTGGGGGAAAGAAAGCCAAATCGTTCAATAATGGTACCCCTTTTATATTGTTTACACATTACTTGGATCTTTTACAATAAAAATATATCACTGGTAGTTTAAAATATAAAATAAAGCAATATTATAGAGGAATAGAAAAGAACGGAACTAAACATTCAACTCAAGAACCTAGAAAAGGGCCAAAATAAATCAGAAGAAGCACAGTTGGGCATATGTGCATTATTGTTAGTGTGAAAACTGGTTAATCTTTGGATACCAGTTTCACAATATGAATGAAAGTCTACTAAATATATATTCTCATTGACCCAGAAAAACCACTCTCAAACTATTTAAGGAAATAATTAGATTAACTTAAAGAGATTGTATTGCTCATCATAGCATTGTTTGTAATAAAATCCTGGAAAGAGATGGAAAAAACAGCCAAGTAGGGAAATGTTTATAGGATTTTCATAGCCTGGTATCCTAGTTACTATTGATGCATAATAACCCCAAACTTAGTTATCATTTTGTTAGGCCCATAGATTTTGTGGATCAAGAACTCAGAAAGGTTGTTTCCCAGCGGTCCAGTGATTAAGACTCTGCCTTCCAATGTACGATTTTATCCCTGGTTGGGGAATTAAGATCCCACATTCTGCATGGTGTGTGTGTGTATGTGTGCAGGGGAAAGAATTCAGAAAGAGTATAGCAGGAACAACTTTATAACTCTATGATTGTGTCTCTGTTGGGAATTGACAGTTGGTGGAATAATCTGAAGCAGCCACAGCACAGTAGCCTGAAGTGGCTATTGAGCAGCTGAAAAGAGGCTAGTCTGAATTGAGAAGTGCTGTAACTGTAAAACATATACCAGATTTCAAAGACTTAGTATGACAAAGAGAAACTAATATCTCAATTTTTAAATGATTGATTACATGTCAAATTTATTCATATAAATATATATATTTATATATATTTTGGATATGTTGGGTTAAATATATTTACATTACTTAAATTGATTTTAATGTGGCTGCTAGAAAATTTAAAGTTACACCTGTGACCCATTTGGGGTTCACATAATATTTTTAATTGGTTGATAGTGATATCAAGACGTTTTCACAAATTTGGTGGTAGATGCTATTGGCTGGGATCTCAGCTAAGGCTGTTTGCAGGAATGCCTACACATGGTCTTTTCATGTGGCTGCTTGAGCTTCCTCACGGCATGGTGGCCAAGATTCCAAGAGAGTATTCCAAGGGAATCAGGCAGAGAACCAATATTATCTGTTGTGAACTAACCTTGAAATAACTGTTACTTCCTCTGTAGTCAAACTGACCCAAATTCAAAGGGGGAGGGAACACAAACCACACTTCGTCATGGGAGGAGTGTTAGAATCACATTGCAAGAAGAGCACGTTAGAAGAGAGACATTGTGCCCATATTGGAAAATACAGTTAACCACTGGAATATGATACAGCCAGTAAAAAAGATGGAGTAGATATGTTGAGTGAAAAAAAGTAGATTACAGAATAGTATCTAAAAGCTGTGTGACAGCAATTAGGAACATAAGCTTTGAAGTCAGGGTGCAAAATGTAGCTCACTTCTGTTTACTTTGTAAGACCATTTCAAGTTATGTAGCCTATCAAAGTATCTACCTTGTGTAGGTAAAACAAAAGAAAACAAAACACCTTTCTTGGCTTAGCTTAAAGGAGAAACTTTTAAAATGCTTAACTGAATGCCAGGTTCATAGTAAGCCTAAGGTAAATGTTAGCTGGTACCATGTTAGGGATAATTATTGTCTTTTTTTTTTTTTTTTGGTGTGTGTGTGTGTGTGTGTATATATATATTTATATAAATATAAATATATATACATATATTCA